CATTTATTTAACTAGAAAAATATGTGCTTACTTAAAGAAGGATTTTAAATAAATAGCAGCACCAAGTCATGACTGGGTGGGAGCCCCATTCCTGGCCTCCTGTGATCAGCCCTGGGCCGACTCCGCCCCCATGGTTTCCACCCTGAATCTGGGGCCCCGCAAGCAGCTTGCAGTCTTGCTCTTGCCTGTCAGCCTTGTTCTGAAGACCAACTCAAGAAGGCAAAAGACAGGGTTCCCATACCTGGTGGGTGTTGGGGTAGCCTGAAGAGGGAGCTCCCAGACCCCCGGGCCCCTGTGGCCTCTCTCAAGCCAAGCTTCTGCCATGACACCTCCAGCCTGGACTGCCTCTGCCTGCTGGACTGGCCCTCCCCCCATTATGCTGGCCCTCGGGGTGACCAGGCCTGCTGGGTGTCTGTGTGAGGCCTAGGTGCCTACTGGGGCCTGTCACCTGCAGAGCCCTCTCCCAGCTGCCCGGCATGTCCTCCTGGGCCCGCTGTGCTGCCTGGTGGAAGTCTGGTTTTACAGGAGGAGAGACTGAGGCTCAGAGCAGGGGCCAGCCCAGGACTGACGGCCTTTGGAGTTGGAGGCTGGGTGGGAGAAGAGCCCTCCTTGCTGTGGATCGAGGATACCATTGCTGCTTGGTGTGCTCTGACTGTGCGACTCAGTGACTGCCTGCTGTCAGCCCCACACGCACAGCTACTTAGAGCCATGTGTGCCTGGTGGCCTGTGTGGGGCTCGAGGGACAGAGTGGAGCAGCCTTGCTGCCTCTGAGGAGCCTGGGGACTGGAGCAGTGTGACCGAGGGATGCCCGGCCTATTTTGCAGGGTCTCCCAGGCCATCAGACCCCTGTGGCCTCTCTCAAGCCCAGCCTCTGCCATGACACCTCCAGCCTGGACTGCCCCTGCCTGCTGGACCGGCCCCGCCTATTCTGCAGGGTCTCCCTCTGCCTGGGAGGTCAGGGGGCTCCTGGAAGAGAGGACACTTGAGCTGACCGTGGTGAACGTCCCTTGTGCCCATTCTGCCCTCCACCTGCTTCCTCCTGCTGCTCAGGGCCCCTCCTTTGGGGGCCTCCCCGGGCCCCTGCACTGCACCCCTGTGCCCCTGTCAGCAACTCGCCAGTTGTCAGCCAGGTGCTCTTCCAGGGCCGGAATGAATTCTGCCTCACACGTCCTGGGCCGAGGCCTGCAGAGTGGGAATCAACCCTGCGCGAGCCTCAGTTTCCTGCGGAGGATGTGGGTGGGGAGACCCCAGTGCCCCTGCCCTGACATTGTGGTGAGCGGTGGTCAGGCCAGCACTCCTGCTGGCGGAGCTGTTCCGTCCTGTCTGACCCCTGGGCCCTGGACCCTACCTCAAAGTTGACGTGTCCGTTGGGGAGGCGGTTGGCACAGCCCTCGTTGAGGAAGTAGATGTCTTTGACGAGCAGGCTGAAGAAGGGAACGACGATCTGGAAGGGACAGGGTCGGTCAGCCCTTGCAGGTGCTCCCAGCCCGGGACCTCGGTGCATGCTCAGGCTAGAGAGGGCGGGAGAGACTTCCTGGGCACAGCTGGCCGGCTTGGGGCTGCATGGGGTCCAGGCTACGTAGTATGCACCAGGGGGCAACGTGGAAACCACAAAGAAAGGGGGTACAGGTCTCTTTCCCTGAGGCCAAACGGTTTCCTCCCAGGCCCCGTGCTGACTGAGCTCCTACTGTGGATGGCGGCCCTGGAACATTTCCTCCACCTCCTGCTGGGGGGACGGACGGAGCACGCTGAGCACAGAGTCAATCCATAGGGCCTGGGGGCATCTGTGGCCTCCTTTTAAACACATATTAACAGCTTGTCCTTGCATGTCCTTCTTGACGCTGAAGATCTGAACTCGCTGTGCTATGGTGAGACCAAAGGCCTGGACGCAGTTGCTGAAGGTGGGGCTGCCGAGCTCAGCCTGCGGGGCCCCTGCCTCACTGCCATGCTGTGCTCCGTGCTTCTCCCTCCCTGCTCTGCCGACCCCTAGAGACCCCTGCTCACGGCTCAGACCACCCTGGAGAAGCAGCCGGCTCTACCCTGTGTCCTGCTTCAAACTGTGTCCCCCCAAAGACATGTTGGTGTACCAAGTCCTGGTGGGACCTTGTTTGGAGCAAGTCTCTGAAGATGGAATCAGGTTAAGGTGAGGTCACACTGGCTATGCGGGGTCTAATCCAGGGACTGCTGTCCTTGTAAAGAGGGGACTTCGGACACACACAGGGAAAGTGGCCATGGGAAGGCAGAGGCAGCGATGGAGCAATGTGGCCACTAGCCAAGGAGCCCCGAGGCCACCAACGCTGGAAGGATCCCTGGGGCCTCCGGAGGGAGGCAGCCCTGGTACCCTGATAAGGCTTCAGCCCTGCAGGAGGACAGGCTCTGTCCGAAGCTGCCTGCTTGTGTGCGCAGCCCCAGATGCGAGCACAGCGGCTCTGCCCTCGGGGCCAGAGCTGGGCGCCTGCTGCCAGGCCAGCCCGTCACCCTGGGGACCAGACACCAGGCCTTGGCGTTTCTGGTTCAGGGAGTGCTGAGCCCACCCCCACTTCCGCCCCATTCGAGTCAACTAAGCATCGAGGTGAGGACCTGGGCACTGACTGCTCTGCACAGCACAGAGCATGGCTGGCTCAGCTGGGCGGGGCAGACGGGGAAACTGAGGCCCGTGGAGTGGCAGGTCCTGGCCCAAAGTCACGAGCTGGCGACCACCAGGGCCAGGAGCAGAGACAGAGCCAGCAGGGAGACCCGGGACCCAGGGTCTCCTGGGCTGCAGAACTGGCAGTGCTGGGACCGTGCAGCTCCGGGGGGACCGGTGCCCCGACTCCTGTCAGTCCCACAGCATTTGCCCCAGTCTCGGTCTTGCTGTGCCAGTGGCAGAGCTCGGGAAAGGGCGGGTGTGTCCCACACATTCACCCCTGGTCTCAGGTGGACGGAGACAGTCTTAGGAACCACCACAGAGTGAGGAAGGCCTTGCCCCCATCCGTGCTCCCAAGAGCCCCCCCCCCTCACCCCTGCACGGGAGCAACAGCGGCGGACCGAGTGCCTCACGGCTGAACCCAGCTCAGCCTGGAGGTGGCCCAGAGACGCCTCTGTGGAGTGGGCCTGTGACAGGGACAGGGGTAGCGGGTGGGGTGGGGAGAGGGCAGGGCAGACGGGAGCCGGCCACAGGCAGGAAGAAAGCATAAGTGAGTCCTGAGACCTTCCGGCTTTAAGGTTTCAGCTGCAGGCACCAGGGGACTGTGAGAGCATCTCCCCTTCCTTCCTTCCTTCCTTCCTTCCTTCCTTCCTTCCTTCCTTCCTTCCTTCCTTCCTTCCTTCCTTCCTTCCTTTCTTCCTTCCTTCCTTCCTTCCCTGCTTCCTTCCCTCCCTCCTTCCTCCCTCCCTCCCTCCCTCCCTCCCTTCCTTCCCTGCTTCCTTCCTCCCTTCCTTCCTTCCTTCCACCATTTCTTCTATACTATCCATCTTTCTATCCTTCCTTCCATCCATTCA